TTTTTTTTTTTTTCAACAGATCAAGCAAATAAAATGCAACTCAAATTTCCACCATATTCAAAAATGCCACCAATCCCCCAATCATCACACAAATCGGTCAATAGGTTGACAAGAAAAGGTTTTAAGCTTAAAGGGCTACTAGTGGAATAAATTTTAGGACCAAACAACAAGGCAAAAAGAGAGCTAATCAACAAAATGCCTCAATCATATTCGCAATTTCAAACTCAATCGATTCCTTTCAAACAAACTCAAGGCAAGTTCTAATCATTCAAGAATATGACCAATATCTCACAAGAAAAGCATAAGGCTCAAAACCTCACAATGTAAATAAATGTCACTCAAAGCAATCAAGCAAATACCGAGGCAATGACCACACGTCTGTCATCACAACTTCCCAATCTCATCAAACATTCATCAACAATTCATATAATTCACCAATATCACATGCTCAACAAAGCAAAAACCTAAGCTAGACTGATCCACCACATAAGAATGCAAAACCCAATTCGACTCCCCCACACTTAAAATGAGGCAATGACCTCATTGCTTCAACACAAAACCGGAAGTCACAAAATAGGACCTAATATTTTTATATAATGAACCAAACTAGCAGCTAACACAAGACACAAACTCAAAAGAAAAGACAAATAAAAGAAACAACTCAAAAAGACAAAATAAGAAAAGGGTGTGCAAACCGAAGTGCCTCGAGGAGAAATAGCATGCATGTGCAAGTAGCTCGCCTATGATCAGCGTCGCGAACTCATCCCTGCCACTAAGAAAATCACGAAACTCCAAACTCCCATTATTCCAAGATAAAACTAAAAAGCGAAAAGAAAGATATCTAATAAAGCAGTAAATCGCTTGGGTTGCCTCCCAAGAAGCGCTTGTTTAACGTCATTAGCTTGACGAAACTTGAAGAGAACTCAACCGGGATCTAGAAAGAGGTGACGGTCGTGCCACACCTTCGTATTCTCGAGAAGTGGTAGCCTGGGCAGTGTGGCTAGAAGGCGGGCATAGTGGATCCGGGTGGCTGTATTATGGGTGAAGCGGGTTCGGGCACGAGCAATCCCCGACTCTAGACGTAGAGCTTTCCCACCCGAGCTCTATCGTCAACCTCCGAAAATATAAGCTCATCTGTGGAGCAAATCAAACTGAATGCTCCCCACTTCGTATCACAGTGTAAAGGCTCCGAAGATGGATGCTCCAACTCGGAAGTGGGAGGAGGGACTTGAGAATCAAGCTCGTGGATCTCCTCCTCTGAAGTATCATCAAGCTCATCATCATCGTCTTCGGCCTCACACATTTGCTTCATCGGGCGGGCTTGAGTATCAAGCATGAGGTGGGGGTAGTCGACTTTTGCCTCGACTGAGCTGGTATATGCTGCAAGAATCTCCATTTGTGTGCTCAGTCGAGCACACCCGAGCTTAACCTCCACATCTCGAGTGGACTGGGCAGATATGCGAGCAAGGATGAGGTCGAGCTTCTCATCGAACGACAAAGAAGCCTCCCGAGGCTCGTCTCTATGTGTAGGTTCGTCTTGAGCGGTGGGCTCGGGAGTGACATTGGTAACTCGGTCCTCTAAGGCTTGCAAACGCTCCACTAGGTTCTCGATCCTGGACTCAAGATTGCTCTTACGGGCTGCTTGGGATGCCAAAAGAGCAAGGACTTGGTCGAGCTTGGCGTTATATTCTGAGGAATCCTCGAGGGACTCACATGACTGCTCAACAAGCCTGGACTCCCACTGCTGCTCGTAAGGATACGACCAAATCTGGCCATTGCCCCAAGAATCGTAGAATGGAGGTGGCTGGTTCAATTGGGCACACCGGGTTGTTGTCTCCTCTTCTCGAGCTAACCGGGAAATTGCGAAATCATAGATACGGTCGAGCTTCTCGTTGAACGCGTGGGACTCGTAATATTGCTCGACCGGGAGAGGGTCCCAGTACTGCTCGGAAGGGTAGGGATAAGATTGGCTGTGGTACCCGGCGTGATAGCTCGACTCGTAACCCCAAGGTTGGGTGTGCGGATAGGGAAAAGCACGATTGAAGTTCATATCTCCTGCACACCAAAATAGAACAACCACGCGTAGCCGCGAAAAGAAAAGAAAAAGAAAACAGAAACAAGCAAGACAAAAAGAAAAACAAATATGCACAAAAGAGAGAACAAAGTACGAAAATCACGAAAATAAGAGAAACACGGAAAATAAAATCAATATCAAAACCAAATATCCTACTTGCCTTCCCCGGCAACGGCGAAAAATTTGTTGTAGCACAACTTGTTATTTTTACCGAGTACCGAATCGAAAGATTCGTTCCCCGGGTCGATCTCACGAGGAAGGCGGTTCGGAATTTAGAAATGATATTGATAACACATAAAAACAAAAGAAATCCTAATCACACTAATCAAATAGGGGGAATCAATTACCAACTAAGAAATAAATAACAATGCAAAAATGTAAATCTACCTAAGAATATGAATGGAACGAAGATGGAGAAGCTAAGGAATCGGAGATGATTAATTCAAGTTCTAGCAAAGTCGGGCAATCAATTGTTCGGTTCGAGATTGAAACTCTCGCTTAAACATCTAGAAGTTCGCTCCCAATAACTCTTCGTAACAATGGATTGAACATACACGAACAAGTTCGAGCATACGACACAGACCAATTATCCCAATCCCATTAACTTTTCGTAAAAGGGACGGGTCATTGACAAGTGCGTATTTCAATCTAAAACACGTAGATTAGTCAATTACGACATCGTCTACCTCATGTGAGACTAAGTCTACGACTTCTCCCCTTTCGGTTCAAGAAGTCGCTAATTTAACTAGAAGAGTGTTAATCGACTAATCACATAGAATCAACGAAACCCTAACTCGACTAATCAACATTCAATTGTTACCAATTGCAAGATCAAAGTGTCACTCTTCGATTATATCAATCAATCAAGCAAGAATATATCAATCCCTAATCGAAACAACTCACATAAGAAAGGACAATTTCAAGCCCGAGAGATGCACGTTAAACAAGAACACTCATTCCCCTATCCCTAGCGATAAGATTAGCTACGTAAATTCGATCCAACACACATAATCAATTCTCCCAATTCAACCATTATTCATGAATTAAACATAAGAGAAAAGAAACTTACGATTAATCTCAAATCAGAGTGTTGAATATCAATTACAAGCTTAATCCCAAAAGCAAGAACAATTTCTAGGTGAAAAATGGAAAATAAAGATAAAAAGAAGAAGAAAAATAGAGAAGAAGAAGAAGAAGAGAAGAGAAGGAGAAGAGAGGAGTGTTCATAGTGCTCTGGAGACCTAGGGTTCGTCTTCCCGAAGAGGAGAGAATGAATCCCCGAATCGTTCAAGAAATCTACTTTTAAAACCTGTTTTCGCGACCTCCGCGGCCGTGGTGAAGTAAGCCTCCTCGGCCGCGACTTGCTCCGAGGCCGCGGGATTTTTTCGCTGAAGTTGGGACTTTGGCAGTTTTTGTTCGCCGCGGCCGCGGCGAAGAAAAGGGTCGCGGCCGCGCGAAGAAAACTGGGCTGCACTGCACGACTTTACGATTTTTGCTCGTTCGGGTTCGTTTGAACTCGGAATTGAGTTTAGTTTTTTTCTACGCGTCGCTAACGAACCCCTCTATATAACTATGCAAACCCATCAGATATTTTCTTGAAAACTCTTCCTCCCAAAGCTTATGACATGAACACTAAAAACGTGATTTGCGCGACTTTGTTGTTTGAGCCCGTTCGGGCTTGTCCGAGCTCGAAAATGAGTTCCGCTTCTTTCTATATGTCGCCAACGAACTCATCTTCACAACCATGATTGCCCGATCAATTTTCACGCTAAATTCATTCCTCATGGGGCTTCCGACCTGCACACCAAAAACAAAAGAAAACCGGAAAAACACACGAGAAACAAAAGAAATACCAAAATAGATCAAATCACGCAATAAACTACAAAAATGAATAAAACCCAATGAAAAGACTCAATATGGGGGAAAAAGAAAGACAAAAAGATAACGAAAAACACAACAAAAATGGGACAAACAGAACCAGTCGGTCCCTCGATGGCTAGCTGTGGCCCGTCTCGACCGTGCTCAGGGCCTGCTGGCGCGGCAGTTCATGAGCAAGCGCAGACCCTGCTGGGAACGGTCCCGTCAGCGCATGGGTCTTAGAAGGGGTGTCTGGTCTCTGGCGCGAGGTGTGCCTGGACCACGGCTGGCGGGACGTGCGGGCGTTGGGTAGATGGCTGGACGGGCGCACGGGCGCAGGACAAGCAGGTGCACGAGGTGCACGGGCGCGGTGCAGGGCGCATAGGCACGGGGATCCTGGTGCATGAGCACGCACTCGGGTGGCACGTCGGCGGCACAGACACGAACAAGGGCGCACATGGACACTGGGCCTCGGCAACGCAGCATAGGCGCGAGCCCGGCTTTAGGCAGGCAACTCACCGGTCGGCCGACGATTCTTCTGGCAGCCCTAATTCATTAGACTCCTTGTAATGTCTAAAGCCCATTTACGCTATGATGACTCGGGAGATTATGCTCGGACTTTAAAATTACTCAGTTCTAAAAAACGAGCCGATTTAGGGTTCTAGTTTCAGGCATCCTAATGTTATAGCACAAATTGTTATTTTTACTGAGTACCGAATCGAAAGATTCGTTCCCCGGGTCGATCTGACGAGGAAGGCGGTTTGGAATTTAGCTTTGACATTGATAACACATAAAAAAAATTCCTAAACACTCTAATCAGATAGCAGATTGGTTGAATTATTAACTAAGAAATAAAATAAAGATAATAATCTACCTAAAAATGCAGACGAAACAAAGATAGAGAAACTAGGGAATCGGGGATAATTAATTCAAGTTCTAGGAAAACCGGACAATCAATTGTTCGGTTCGAGATTGACACTCTCACTTACACATCTAGCGGTTCGTTCCCATTATCTTTTCGTAACAAGGGATTGAACATAGACGAATAAGTTCGAGCATACAATACAGGCCAACTATCCCAATCCCAATAACCTTTCGTAACAAGGGACGGGTCATCGACAAGCACGTATTTCAATCAAAAACCTATAGACTATTCAATTACGAAATCATCTGTCTCATGTGAGCCTATTTCTACGACTTCTTCCCTTTCGGTTCAGAAAGCCGCTAAGTCAATCAGAAGGTGTTTAATCAACTAATCAAATAGAATTGACAAATCCTAACTCGACAAATTAACATCTAATTGTCACCAATAGCAAGATCGAAATGTCACTTTTCAATTATATCAATCTATCGAACACAAATTCATCAATTCCTAATCAATTCAACTCACATAAGCATGAACAAATCGAAGCCCGACAATTACACTATAAACAGGAACAATCATCCCCTATCCCTACCAATCAGATTTAGCTACGAATATCAAATTCAACAATCATGATCAATCCTCTGAAATAATCATTATTCATGAATCAAATAAGCGACATGAATACTTACAATCTATCCAAGTTCCAGTTGAATTCGAAATACAAGCTAAACCCTAACTAAGAAGAAGAAGAAAAATGGAAAATAATGGTGAAAGGAAGAAGAAAAATGAAGAAGAAGAAGAGAAGAAAGAGGAAGAGAGAAGTAGTGTCCGTGGTGTTCTCGGGACCTAGGGTTTTCACCCCCCGGTCGAGAATTATGTCTAATCAAAGTCCCGATACGTTATTTATACTTGGCAGGGCTCACGGGCG